CACGTCAAGTTTTTAATAGTGAATGGTTAAAACAAGATCTAAACGTAATATTATATATAATTTAAATATATATACAATTAGGTGATCAAAATAAAACCATAGAAATTAGTGAGTGACTAAATACGTGTTTTAGCCTAAATTTTACCAAAGCGTTGACAAATCTTATAATCAAATTTTCTAGTTTTTTAGCGTGCACTTCCCAGTTTCTTACACCTTTTTTTATAAAAAATTTAGGTGAGGGTAGCTCCCTAAGTCCAGTCCAGGGCATACTTAAAATCTAATTGAGATTTACATAAGACTTTATAAGTTGTCCACAAAAAATGATGATGGTAAAATTCGAATTTGACCTTACAAACTCAAATTCTTTAATCTTAACTACTTGTACAACACTGGACGGTCAATTTACTACACTTAGCTTTCTCATTTGCCACCTTTCTTTTTCTCTCTTTGACTCTTCCTCCATCCACCATATAATGTAATTATGAAATTTCATGTAAAAAATCAAATCTTCACCTCTTATATGTACCTTGTCTCCCCTTTCCCAGTGAAAAAAAAAACCTTTAAACTCTTCTTCTAAAACCCTACTGCCACTTCCCAAAGATTGTCTCCCCTCTTCATCTTCAAATGGCCTCAAAGGTAATATACATCGTCTTCCTAATTATACTTCTTGCTGGATCTAGTTTCGCCACCCGGCCTGGAAAAACCATGGTCGTCGACGATAGAGTTTCAATGGCCACTTTCCCGAGAAAGTACGAGACGGGTTTTGTATACCAAGGGCAGATGTTCAACTTCTTCCCCAAAGGGACCCCTATACCACCTTCTGGTCCATCTAAAAGGCACAATTCTGTCATCCATTCTACTCAAAACTGAGTAAACTGTCCCTTCTTCTGTAGTCTCAAAGTTTTTTTTCCCTTTTTTTCTTTTAATATAGGTGTTAGGATTGTCTGCGCTCTGCAGCAAAGGGTTTGTTCTGGTCAAAAACAGAGCTCGTCTCTTTTAGGATTTTTGGGATTCATAGATATAGACATAATACTGTATAGTATTTAAGATATGTTTGTTGATAATTTCTACTGGTATTCGTTTCATTATTAAAAAAATGCAGATGGTTGTACACTTGGTTGAAATGAATTCAATTTTGTGATGAATTATATAATCAAATGTTGGAGACGATCTGCTTCTGTTTTCACGTTTATCTTTGCAAACTAGGATGGCGTAAGGCTAGCTTCCTCTGTATTTGGTTTTTACTTTAGATTGTAAATAAAAGGCATTTAGATCGACTTTCATTGCATTAGGCAAGGGAACTCCAATGGCTGCCGTTCAAATCCAATCAACTTACCGTTGGTATTGGAATAGACTAGAGTTGGGTGCCTCCTTCGCCCCACTTATTTAGGTCGTCCATTCGATGGGGAAATGAGGAAGAAGCAGAGTTTGTGATGGCTGATTTCCATTGAAATTGCAAATTGTAAGAAGAAGAAGAAAACAAATTGAGGAAGATAAGATAAACCTAAAGAATATTTTAAACAAAACCCATGCAACTAAGAATTTCGCTGTTCATATTTGACACGTTTGACCATCTAAGATATGTTATAAAATTGCCTTAAATCAATATTACAAAAGATTTGTTAATAATTTTAATAACAATACAAGAATCAATGATCTCTAGAAATTGTGGTTAAAAGCTCTCAGTTGACATACTTCTTAAGTTGTGAGTTTAATAATGATTAGGAGCAAAATTCTTATTTTCTCCCCGTAAGTAGGAATTGTTAAAAAATATATAAATACATAATGCAACAAAAAATGGTTGTTCTTTGTTCTCATATGTAATGGGGTAGGGGGAGGTAAGATAGTAGACTGCCCCCAACACCAGGTTGAGAGCACCTTTCGTAGAAAACCTCCAAATTATAAAATACCCTCCGTGGAACTCGATCCCACGACCTCAAGATTAATAACCTTGTGCTCTAAATACATAATGCAACATCAACCTTAAATTATAGGAACATGTAATATGTAAACCTTCATGTTATGTTGATGACTATAAGTACGAACGTAGGATTTTATATTAAGAAATGAATTTATAAAACTTTAAGATAAGGTGAATCTAAAAATTTTTAAGGAGACAAAAATATATTTTTAATAGAAAATATATAAAAAATATCTAAAATATATAATAATTTAAAATTTCAAGATACGACCGTCGCTACTCTTCCTCTCAATCCATCCCTAACTGAAGGCCTCATGAAGTGCCCAAAGTTTCGATAACAGAACTTAGCACTTACCAATGCTCTTAGAAAAACCAAACAATCAGCGGCCCTTGGCATCCCTGAATACGAAACCCACTGCTGCATCTCATTCAATACAGGAAACAACACCGTTCGTACTAACTTTCACCCACCCTTCCGTCGGTCGCTGCTATAACAACTGATCTTTACATGAGTTCATGCGTGTCGATGTCGATCATGTCTTCATGATCCGCCCTCGTATATTTTCCTCCTACATGGGTAAGCTTTCGATAAGGATACTAGTTTTCTCCATAAAGTTTGAATAAAAATAAATGCATTCCTCCAAAGCATCTGCTTCCAGTAGATTGTAGCAAACAATAAACCCTACTCTCCATTTCCATGTGTTCCATCACAGCTCCGTAAGTTAGTCTGAAGCCAATCTTTTAAGGGAAGAGTTGTGAACTTCGTCCACAACGTAAGTGAAACCAAATGGGACCAAAGTCTTCTTTTAACAATACATCTTCTAAGGACATGTTTGACATCCTCATCTCCCCTTTTAAATATCTGGCAGCGACTCTCATTGGTTCTATGGTGTCTTATGCGTTCAACATCAGTCTACCGAGGAACCTTCATCCACCAAATGAGCTTCCGGCAGTCATCCTCCTCCCCATCATTTGCAAAAGTCAGCAAACGATAAGATGTTTTTTTTTTCGAGAACGCACGAGTGTTATCCCATCTCCACAACGATCGATCATTCTCCAAAGCTGCCTGAGGAGGCAGAAAAGCTGCATTCTTTCTTAAGACCTCTACCGGGAGGACGTGATGAAGAGAATTCCGATCCCACTCGCCAGAATCTAGAACCTAGTCTGCCACTGGGTTATGATCCGGGTTTGCTGAAACTAAACTCTGGTCCACTAGCGGAACTTATTATCAAGCCAAGAACCAAACCAAAAAGGCAATACCAACGCCATCTCGAATATTCTAAGAAATGTTGTCTCGGACTTGAGGCCAAATGTTACTCAACAGTCAACCCTTTCCTTAGGCGTGATCATTTTCCAGTCCACGAAGAGAGTGGCATGGGACCGTTCCATATTGGTGTGGGCTCCTACATTTCATTATATGTGAATTTGGTTCTAAAATGGATACTTAAATTGTCCATAATGTTTTCTACTAAGGCTGGTAACGACCTTACATTTCTCTGTGCAAGAATAAAGGTTTACCTCATAAAGATAAAGTACATATGTGCCCCGAAAATATTATTATCACGAAGATTAACCTCATGAAAACATATCATCTTGCTCATACTTAATTAGGACATACTTCGTGTAAAAAGCTCAATGATATGTACGTATGTCCACAAAGGGATTTGATACTCCAATTAACCATTGTAAAACAACCTTCATAACTTTGGTTACAAAAACCTTTTACTTCTAGGGTCAATCCATTAATCAAAACTCTTTTCGAGACAACATTTTTCTTTAATTATGACATAAATCTCTAAGTGTCCCGTCAGAGTTATTAAGCTATTGAAGTTATTTTTCGATAGTTTGAATATGTTGAGTCTTTGAAAAGCTCATCAAGAGATGGAGTCACCAACGACCGTTTTGTGCTAGGTATGACTGAATACTTTTAAATTTGGCTTTCGTCTAACAATAAGATCAAAATCAGACTTTAAATTCAATTATATATGGAGAAAGTTAAAATACTCACACGATATCTAAAATTGATACATTTAAAAGAATATATTATCTCGTTTGTAATCAACAACGCCTTGGTCCACTCTTCTGGTTTTATGTTTGAAATGCAATGAACACAATCCCTGCATAGTATATAAACATATATGAAGTACGTACCCTATATGTCCTGATATTAATTTCAAAGTTAATCATGACAGCACCATCTGATAAACTAAGCCATTATTAGGGAGGTAAAAAAATCATGACAGCACCATCAAAATGTATAAAGTTATATTCATGTTTATTTTAATTTTTTGAAAATATTTATTTCCGATTCACGTTTGTTTAAAATTTTAGTATCCTATTCATGTTTGGTTCGTTTATCGATTGCAAACATGTTAATTTAGCGTTCATGAACAAGTTAGTATGTTCAGAAAATAGTAAAATTATACTACTAGTCCTTAAACTCCTTAAGCTTCACAATATGGACTTCAAAGTTCATATTGTGTTCAATTTAATCCTTACCTTCACCTATATTTAAAACGTAAAAAAGGGATAACTAAATAAATTAGCTTATAAATGAGTCAATATACGAGCTTGTTTGAGAACATAAATAAACTAAACACGCCTCTATTTGTATTTGTTCATTTATTAAACAAATATAAATTTTTTGTTCATACTCATTTATTTAATTTAATAAACGAACATTATATAAATAATTTACAAACAATTGATCGAATAATCTATTCATTTAGAGTCATCCATTGGCACAAAGATTTCCAAATATATTGTTCAAGGTGAGTATATATCTATTAATAATATAAATTTAAAACAAATAAAATTTTAAAATAAATATTATCTATGAAATGAATAATTAATAAAAAAATTGAGATTTCGGTATAGTTACGTAAACAGCCTGAAATTGACATACATCCACCACCGCAGAGGTTGATTTATGCTGTATCCGGCTTTTTTATTCTTACATTCCTGTTATCACCGGTTGGTCTGGTTACTTCAATACATTCAGCAATATTATTTTCAAAAAAAAAAATTGATAACATATTTTCGCCTTTTCCATTAATATTCTGAGAAAATAAGGCAAACAAAACCTCCAGGTCCTCCACTATACGTACATCTTCTTCATTGCTTAACAACAAAATCTAAAGCTTGGTGCACCAAAACAAAACGACCCTAAACTCTAATCAGATAAACACTGAGTTCAGGGCCACCGGAGCCATCGGGATTCATCATGTAAAAGGCTTCCGAATCTTTAGACCCTACGACCCTCTCGAATCTGGCTCTCATGTACATCAGCTCACCTTCGGGACCACCTCCATTCCCCTTGCAGCTTCCCGGTAACACACCGGCGCCCATCGAAATAGGCTCCACGGCTTTTAACACTTTCCACTCCTCGGGTCCGCACTCGCGCCTCGTTGCGAACCCACATTTCTTGCCATTGCAGTAAGTCCGCCAAACAGGCTCGTCCAGCAGCTTCATCCCTTTCTTCCCTATCTTCTTTTCACACTCCAAGGTGATTCTAACCAACCCAGAGGCCATTTCCTTGACTAAAACACTAGTTGATATTGCGAGCTGGATTAAAAACGCCGGACTTAGTTTTGCTTCTTCTTGAAACGCAAAATGAACGTGATCACGCCGGTATCCGAACAGGGTTCCTATGACTTTAGTGCCTAAACCTGAACGATATACAGAACGATTCTTACCGAACACACTCAGAGCTGACCGAAGCTTAGAAACCGATACGATTGCCAGTTTCTTTCTCGGTGCTGCTGGAGCTAAAGAAACTTGACCGGGCACCGGGATTCGAAGCTCATCTGCTTTCTTGGCTTCAACACAAAAATGAGACGAGGAGCTGAACGTTAGGATTTCTTCCTCGTTGTCACCATCATCATCATCTTCGACCTTCTTTTTCCAGTTGAAATATCGTCTCGAGAAAGAGAAAGAAGAATCGTGGGGGCTCTTAGCTGTGATTGTCTTCATATTGGAAAAAAGGCAAGAAAGTTTCTGTGAGTGAAGAAGAGAGAACGAAGTATATATAAATAAACAAAGTGTCCCAATCTATTAACTTATATCAGTAGTTTGGGGGAAGGTGGATTTATTCCTGACAAAAGAGAAGTTGAACATCCCCACCTAACTGATAAAAGTAGTAAACAAGTGGACAATATAACTGAGAGAGAAAGCGAATAGAGGAGAAGTATAGGAAAATAGTGGGAATCGGTGGAGACACTAGCAGACTGTAATTTCTTTATCATGTGGGGCAAAACAGGCTGAAAATAAGGGAAGCGTGGGGTAAGAACCGGAGAATGAAAAGGAAATTTGACTGTCAAATCTGACTTGCATTGGAAACTGTTAAGGACAGGTACAGCCACACCAACTTTACCCATCATAATTTATCCAAAAAAAAAAAAAACTTTACCATCATAATCATTTTTTTAATAGTAGGCATAGATTACAAATTAGTATTTATTTAATAATATACATATATCTTCTAAATATAATTATTTAAATTTAAAATTTTATATGATAACCACATTTAATCGTGTTATTAGTATGAAATAATTAAAAAATAATATCTACATGAAAGATTTTTAATCATTTTGATGGCCCCAAGCACAATCTCCCTTCTATTCTAGTTATATGAGCCAGCAATACATTAGGGCACAGGCAGCCTCCTTTGCGTTTTGTATCCTTAATAACTTTTTCTGAAATTGAGAAAATGATTATTGATTAATCTTTATATTTGTATTTATCATAATTTAATCATCTAATTTAATAAATTTTTAACTAGTTCAAATCATTAACAATGCTAATTATCTAAGTTAAAATTTTATCTTAAATTAATAATCCATGATGTTTATTTTTATATTAACAAAAACATTATAAAAATAGAAAACAAATTATGTAAATTAAAACATATTAAGTCTAAAACATAAACATAATAAAAGGACAAAAACAATGTACAAAATACTAAGAAATAATTAATATGAATATTAAATTTCAATTTTATTGATCAATATAAAAAATAGTGAACAAATAAGTTGATGCAATGCTACCAAACCATCATCCACTACCAATTTAGTACCAAGTCTCGAGAAAACAAATGAAAGGAACCTCCTATAATTTGTTATGAGTATCAATGTCAAAAAGTTAGTATCTACCAATAATGACTATTGTATCCATCGAGCCAATAAACTTTATGAAAAAAATAACTTTATATAGGTTAAGGTCAAGCCAGGTTGAAACTTGGGATCCCCATGATTAAGTCACATCCGCATGAAAAATTGTTAGAAATTGGATTGTTTAACCATTTTTTAAAAATAAAAATATATGGGACCGACCTAATTCTTCACGGATCAACTAACCAGGATCCCATGACGATATGTTAAGTTGAAGTTGACCTAAATCTACGACAAAGTATGCATGATTTTTTTCCCTTCAAATTTCAACCACTTTATGTGTAATGATTTTACTTAGGTAGCTCAAGGACATGACGCTTATTAAGCCAAGAATAAGCAAACAAGAAAACGGTGATGCACTAAAAGAGTTATCATTTATAATTAGAAGCAGAGGATCACGTAAAGATTGGATTTTTTATACCCAAATGATAATGCAAATGTTAAACGATCAACAATGCATCTTGTTAGATGTTATTTTGTTTTTTTAATTAAAAAAGAAAAACGTGATTTTATTAGATAATATTGTTTAGGTGTCATTTGAATAAATAAATATAAAATAGGCATCATTCTCGTAATTTTGCACAGTTCTATTGTAGTCTTTGTTTAGCATTGGTTATAGAGGTGGGAGAACAGTTTCTAAACAGAAAAGTCTGGTTTTATCTCAACAGACAACAATAGCAACAAAGGAGTCACAGTCGCACTCACATGCCACACCAACACCAACAAAGATATAGTATAGCTTAATTTAACCTTATTTGCATCTGGTGAGGGTTAGTCTACACGTACCACCTTCCACAACCAATATCCCAATCTACTCGCAGTTATTTATATTTTTGTTTGCTTGTTTTGAGTTTTGACATTGGTAAATTGGTTTTTTTAAAAAATATATATAATGATGTGGCTAGACTATAAAAAATAAGAGTAAAGTACACATATGGTCCCCGATTATAGGGTATAGTTTTATTGAGTCCCCCGATTATTATAAGTTACAACATAATCCTCCGACTATAGGGCGTTGTTTTGCTGAGTCTCCCGACAATTAAAAGTTACAAAATGATCACTTGACTATTCATATGTTCCGAATTCGTCATTTTCTATTAAAAATTAACCAAAATCTAAGTTGGATATTAACCTACTAATTGAGATATGATAAAATCTGATATCGGAATCTCAAACGACTATCATTTATCAGGCAACATATTAACGTCTAGCTCAAAAGACTATAAAGTTTTAACGAAAAAGAACGAGTTTGGAACATATTAATAGTCGAGTGATCATTTTGTAACTTTTAGTACTCGAGGGACTCAACAAAGCACCGTCCTATAGTCAAAGGACTATTTTATAACTTTTAATAATCGAATACTCAATGAAATAGTACCTATAGTTGGGGATCATTTATATACTTTACCCAAATATTAATTAAGTAATCAAATCGCTCATCGATTTAAATTTGAAAGTTTGAAGTATTTTATCTATAAATAATGTTTAGCAAATTTAATTTTTGGCTTAAAGTAATGAGAATTACAATGAGTATTTGGAAATGGAAAATCTGCGGAGAAAGGTTTCATAGTAAAACGTGACAGATTACAAACTTGCATGATAGTTACAATTTTGAAAAGGAAAGGAATCTTTAGGATGAAAGGGACAATGTTATAAACTTTCAGAGTGAAAAGTTTGATTCTTAACCAAACAAAAGAAAGAAATAAAAAGTTTGGTATACCCAAAACTTCTTAAAGAGTTAATTGCATCATATGTCCCCAAACTATAGCCTTTATTTTGAATTGGTCTTTAAACTTTTAAGTATTCTAATTTTATCCTCAAACTATGATTTTTATTCTAAATTATTCCTTAAACTTTTAAACAATTTATTTTGATCCCTAAACTATGAACCTCTTTCTAAACTAGTCCCCAAACTTTTGAATATTCCAATTTCATCCCCAAATTCATCCAAATATATAATTAGTTTCAACCATAATTTAACCTAAATTTTAATTTTTCAAACATATAATAACCATAGATATGATTATTACATACGTATAGTAGTTTGAGATAAAATTGAAATGTTAAAAAGTTTAAGGACTAATTTAGAATGATAGTCATAGTTTAGGGATGAAATTGGAATATTTAAGAATTTAGTGATCAACTTAGAATAAGAGTCATACTTTGAGGATATATAATACAATTAACTCAAGGTTAAAATATATATTCATAATATTCGATAAGAAAATATACTTTCATAAGAGAGAAAAGGAAGTTTCCTACATTTTCCCGAAAAATAAAAACAAAAAGGTCAAATTCTTCTACTAGTCTCCATGTTATACATAAATTGTAGATTTGGTTGCTATAATCTACATTTTTTCCATAACTATTAATTCTATTAAGTCAAACTATGTTATTAATCTCTATATTGTCCATATTGATCATTTTAAATCATTGCAAGTTATTGACATTGTTCTGCACCTTTTTGGTTTAGGACTGGAATTTTAAATTTTGAAAAGTACAATATTACGACTGATCAAGTTAGAACATAAAGATTAAATTCACAAATTATGTATAGTATAGGATCTAATGATAGAATTTGGCCAAGCTAAAATCATGCAGGCTTAAATATACTTTTGGTACCTTGAAGTAGGCATATTTTTTCAAGTCGGTACTTAAAGAATTTTTGTTTTTAAATTGCTACCTGGACTTGAATTTAATATATTGTTTTAGTACCTCTATTAACGATGTTAACTTTTAATGATGTGATAACATAAGATTGTATCATATTTCAACGACGTAGTATAATGTTTTTAACCCCTTAACTTTATCACTTTAATCATTGTAGCCCTTTAAACTTTTATCGTATTCCTTTTAACTTTTGAACTTTCATTTTTTTTTCAAATTGATCCAAACTTAATGGGACAATAATATTCTATTGTCCTTATTAAAACGTGGATATAAGGTATTTTTTCCCTTTTCTGCTATACTATTAAAATATATTTTAAAGAAAAAGTTAACATCAACGCTTCTGTAATGATAAATTAAGGGTAAAGTACACAAATAGTCCCTCGACTATAAGGTTACGTTTTGTTGAGTCCCTCGACTATTAAAAGTTACAAAATGTTTCTCAAACTATAGGATGCTGCTTTGTTGAGTCTTTCGACTATTAAAAGTTATAAAATGGTCACCTGATTATTTAGTATATTCCAAACTCATCCTTTTCCGTTAAAAAAAATGATGACAATCTGAAGTGAATGTTAACCTGTTGACTGAGATATGATAGTTTCTTAATTTTTTATGATACAAATAATAAAAGAATTGATATCAGTGTCAAAGTATCGCTATTATTCCTTCATTTTTGAATTAATTAAAAAACTAAGGGTAAAGTACACAAATGGTCCTCTTACTATATGAAAATATTTTTAGTCCATCGACTATTAAAAGTTACAAAATGGTCACTAACCTGTTGTCTGGGATATTATAAAATCTAATCCTATAATCTCAAACAATTATACAATTCAAACGATTATGGGATCAAATTTTATCATATCCCAATTAGTATGTTAACATCCAGCTCATACAACTGCCAATTTTTTAATGGAAAATGATGAGTTTGGATGATCATTTTGTAATTTTAATAGTAGGGAGACTCAACAAATTATCACCCTATAATCAGATGATCATTTTGTAACTTTTAATAGTCGAGAGACTCAATAATCATTACCATATAGTCAAGTGTATTTTATTCAAAATTAAAATGAACATAATAATAATGTAATGTAAGGGATGACTATAGGGAAAAATCATTCTTCTTTAAAAAAACTCCGAGAGTGGAATCTTCTTGTTGGAAAGA